GGTCGGTGGGGTGGGTGGGTGGGTGGGTGGGTGGGTGGGTGGGTGGGTGGGTGGTGGTGGTGGTTGTTGTTGTTGTTGTTGCTTCTGTTCCTATTTGTCTTTCTGCGCCCTTTCTTCCCGCTCCTGCTGTTGCCAGATTTCCTCAGTTGTTGTTTGTCGGCTGCGATGTCGCTGGTAACTTGGCTGCGCCTGCTGTTTGTTGTAGTTGCTGTCGCCCCTGCCGCCAAGCAGCGCCAAGGCAGCGCGTCGGCCGCGCCGGCCACAGCACGCGCGCTGCGCCTGCAAGGCGGGGCAATCTGAACACAAGGAACTCCTGAGAAAGAACTCCTGAGAAAGAACTCCTGTGACTACATTTTCAAATTGTTACTGTTACCGAGCTGCTTTTTCAGCAGTGTCGTGCTTCTGCAGCATTTTGTAAACCACACTGCAAGCGCGTGGCCATTCTATTTATTCCACTTGGCGGCGGCACGGGTCAGTCCCTACCTTGCACAGCCACAGTCAGGAGAGCCATCGTTGAGCTGTCGTCTTTTAATGAATTATATGAGTGAGGGGCGCTATTAACCGCTATTTTCCTCTTGGCAACCCCCTCCTGTGGCTAAGCTAAGCTAAACTAAGGCAGCGCGCCTGTTGCCCGCAAGCAACTTTCTAGCACAGCCTCCATTAGGGGCACCGGAACCGCGTTCCCGGCAATCTTGCCCAAAGATGCCTCAGAGATCACGTTCTCAGGAAGGCGAGCGCGGCTGACGCCCATCAACCCCAGCAGCTCGGTGCGATTCGTCCACCTGCCCAAGCTGCTCAGCCAAAAGCCTTGGCCTTTGCCTCGCGAGGCAGTCACGCACGGGCAAATATCCTTCATGAAGCTCGGGCCACGACCCTGGGAGGGGCTCAAGTCGATCACGTACAGATCCTTCTGTGGGTCACCGCCTCTCTGGCGAATGGTCTTGAGCGCTCCGTCCAAGTTCTTGCGGGCCCCACGGGGCAATTTGTCCAACTCCGAGGCGGCCCCGCGCAAGCTCAAGTTAATGTACTTCGAGAGCGGCTGCGTTGGTCTTTCCTGGGGCCACACCATGGGCCGCTTCTGAATGGACCTCTTGATCGCCACCACGAAAACTCGCTCTCGGTTTTGAGGAACACCTGCGTGGACCCTGGCATTCAGCACCTTCCAGCTGACGTCGTACCTGCGAGCAAGAACAACAAAAATAAGCGAAATGAACTATTATCAATTGAAAAAGAACGACGAACGCAACCTTGAAATAGCGCCGTTGTTGCCGTGGTGCGCTGGCTGGCCAGCTGAGTCCTTCAGGCCGCTCAGCACCAGCAGGATCGATTCCAGAACAGGTTTGTGAAATCGAAGCAAGCCAAGTACGTTTTCAAGTAGGGCTATGCCTGGAAGGCGCTTGACAACGTAGTGTAAGATGGCATACAGCGGCAATGACCGATGGTCATCTAGCCCTAAGAGGCTTCCTGCTGCGCTGTAGGGCTGGCAGGGAAAGCCAGCAAAAAACACATCCACCGACGGGGCGCCGTTGATGAACTCAGGGAGGGTGCAATCTTCGAAGAAGTGGTGGTGGCTGTGTGTGTGTGACAACAGGGTCCGCACCGCGCTGTCGTTGTCGCTGCAGAAGCACAAAGTGTGCGGGACCTTCAGATTCTCCAAGGCGAAAACATCCGACCCCCACCCAGAGCAGCAGCTTCCAACCCGCAAGCCTTTGTGGGGAGAGGCGCACACCCTCACCGGCGGCAGGCTGATCTTAGCTGTTTCCTGCAGCGCCTTCCTCATCGTCTCGTTGGCGTCATGGCTGTCATCCCGTCGTGTGGCCTTGCCGGCCGGTCGCTTGAGAACAGGTGTTGCCGCAGTTGCCGTTGGCTTCGGCTTCGGCTTCGCCCTTGCCTTTGCCTTGTCAATGATCTGCTTCACCTTGCTGACAACCTTTGGCGCAGCCCTCGCCCTCGCCTTCTTCGCCGCAGGCGGGGCCCTGAAGCCCATAATGCGGCCTCCCTCTTCGTCATCAGAATCCATGGCTGGCCAACTCCCAACACGCTGGAGCCTTGCGCGCAACATGAATCTGTAATTTTCAAGTGTGGTGCGTCGTCGTGGCCCAACTGCCTTCACATTGACATGTGAGCATTGAAGGATCAAGCTTTGGCAGTAATTGACAGCGCCCAGGTTTTTTCAACTCCAACGCGCACGACTGGGTGTCTGAAATGTCAAATCTCGGCGTTGCCGCCAACAAAACCTGAACTGGCAATTGACCCAACTTCAATTGCAGGGCACCCCTCACTCAGATGATTTGCCCATCAGCTTCGCCAAGAGCGCCTGGCGAGCAGTCTCAGCGGCGCTGGCGTTGGCCGACGAAGTCGGTCGGCCACCTTTCTTCGGCTTCTTGGGCTCTGGCTCGCCGCCCGTCTCCTCAGTCTTGGCCTCCTTGTCGTCCTCGCCCTCTTCTGCCTTCTTGGCTCGCTTCTTGGCCTCTGGCTTCGTCTTCTTCTGGTTCTTTGACGTGCCGTCAGATGACGACTCAGAGAGCAACTTTGCCAGGGTGGGCTCGTAGACTTCCGGGACGCTCTCCGTCTGCATGGCCTTCCACAAGCGTCGTTTCACCTGAGCAGTGAGGGCCTCCTTGTGGGTTTCGCTCAAGCAGATTGACACCAGCGGAATCTTGGCCTTGATGCACTCCATGGCCATGCAGTGATCCGTCTCGTTGCCGCGCACCACCACCATGGGGCGAAAGCTGTGCAAAAGTTCGCTGAACAGCACAGGCGGGCTATAATGCCAGAAGACTGGCTCTGAGTCGTCGGGGAAGCTTGGCTTCGTAGCTTGGGCAGCAGTTGCCTCCACCGCTCCCCCCACCAGGACCTTGTGCTCCTTGGTGAAAATATCCTTCTTGACCTTGGGCTGCTCCTTCCAGCAGTTTTCGTCGGTCCATGCCAGCGACTGAATTGGCCCAATGACGGACCCCATCGTCGTTGTGCCTGGAAAGTGTTTCCGCGGGCGCCGCTCCATGGCTAAGCCTGTCCTCGTGAAGGCGTAGAGTGACTCTGTGCAGGTCACAAACCCGCGAACGCGTTCTCTTCTCTCTCCTACACTTTCTTCGTCATATACTACCGTAAAGGCTTGCTTCACCTTGGTGATCGACTCCCCGGAGATCTTTGTGAAGCTGCCCTGGATGGAGCCATCGTTTCCATGCCTTCCGCCGTCCAGCACCATGATGATGTCGCCGTCGCGGAGCTCCTCCTGCGCCAACGGAATTAATAATTAGCTACTATCAAACGTTTTCCTGCAATGTTCTTTCCAATCCTGTCCTGCTGATCGATGTCATCGCCCCCCTGGTCACGGGCCTTGATGAAGGCCTGGGCCATTCGCTTCAGGTGTTGGGCACGGAAGGGCGGCAGCCTCACGTTTGCGTTGCTGCTCGCCTCCCCTGCTGTTTTCGAGTCATATAGCAGCAGCGCTGGCCCATTTATTTCAGCCAGCACGCTGTTCTCCTTCAGCTCTGCGGCAAGGGCGCTATTGGTCATGCTGGCTGCTCCTCGGTCGACGATGAACTTGCAAAACTGATCGATCTTGGTGTTCATAAACTCGAACCAGGCCTCCAGCTGCCCGTCATCCTGATTCGCCTGCTCGGGTGTGATCAGCTCAGTCAGCGAAACCTCCATGCCGCCGACGCCGCACAAGGCTTGCGTTTGAACTTCTGCGCTGCTGCCGCCCGAGGCTTGTTCCGGCCGACCTTGCTCAGCTCTGGCCTTTTCTTCGACTTCAGAAAAAGCCTCAGCCACAGCAGTATTGTTGGCAATGAACTCATTGATGTCACTCGTCGCCTTCAAGGTGGTTTTCAAACATCCATCAGAGCCCACGCCGAAGACCACGTTGGTCAGGAACGTGACCCAAAGCCTGGCGCTTTCGGGGAGAGTTCCTTGCCACTGCTTGTTTTTGTTCTTGCTGCGCAACTCCTCTGCCACGGTCAGCGACGCCAGCACCTCCCGCTGCGCAGCGGTAAGCTCAATCTTGGGCAGGAGGTTGTTCACCATGTAGCGCATGAGGTCGTTCTTGAAGACCCACAGATCAAGCAAGCCTTTTTGCTTCTGTGGTATCAGGGTGCGCTTCGTGAAATCTTTGCAGCTCATCTGCTCCGTCAAGAGAAGGTGTTCCACCATGAGAAGTACCCACTCAATGAGCTGCGGAGTCTTGCTCTTGAGCACCACCGCATCCAAGTTGGTCATCCACACCCACGCTGACATCTTGCCATAGCGCTCCTCAACGCGCATCACTGAGGCCCGCAACTTCTTGTCGCCCAGCAAGTTGTCGTAGACCTTGAAGGCTGTCTCGACAAAGTTGAGCGTCACTGTCTCCGCCAAGTGCGAGCGCGTCTGCCTCACATTGGCCTCCCACGCCTTGAACAGCTCCTCTGCGCCAGACACGCCCGAGGCCTGCATGGACGAGCGAAAGGCGACCAGCTCGAACACACGGCCCACTGCCGTTCGCACCAAGGCTTCGTACTCCTCGATGACCTTGTTGCGGAGGTTGACCTTGTAAGGGTGTTTTTGCGCGTGGCGTCAAATAATATATGACTGCAGCCTGCAGACACCGGATTAAACATGTTTAACGGCCGCCACAGCTAGGTGCCCGGACTGCTCGAAAGAACATGTCTTGCTCTGTCTCGATGATCTCAAAGCGGATCGTGACACTCAGCAGCTTTGACCTCCAGCTCCTGAGTGTCTTCTCAGCCTCCCCTGCCCGGATGGCGTCCCGGACGGCGAAGAGCATCGCGTGCTCTGGCTCCTCAGGCGACACCCTCCGTAGGTTGCCAAAGGAAAGGGCCAAATTCTTCGGCACTGCCACAGCCACCGAGCCGTCGAAGTGCGCCGGACCCTTGAAGTGGGAGCGCTGGAGGTTTTTGACGGCGGTTGCATTAATCGGGACGCCAGGCGTCGCGGACCCGCGGAGGTTCAGCCAGAAGATGTTGCCGGCGGCCTCGTACACCCCAGCCGTCTGCATTGCGGCCTGGTAGGCCTCCGCGCTGAAAGTGGCCTCGTCAGGGACGACAGCTCAGAAACTTTTGCGAAACTGCCGAAATCTGGAAATTATTTTCTTTATAAAAATTATTTTTTTTCCCCAAACAGTTTACTGTGAGGGGTTCTAAATTCATTTAAGGTGGCTCGCCTGTTGCCAAGCCCTAGCCTGGATGCCTGGCACAGCTCTCTGGGTGGACGGGTTCATTTGTCTCCCTGTGTCTCCCTTCATTTGTCTCCCGTTGTCTCCCAGCCTGGATGCCTGGCACGGCTCTCTGGGTGGACGCGTTCGTTTGTCTTTCTGGGTTCACTTGTCTCCCTTTGTCTCCCTTCATTTGTCTCCCGTTGTCTCCCAGCCTGGATGATCCAGTCTGGGTGGACGGGTTCATTTGTCTCCCTTTGTCGTTTGTCTCCCGTTGTCTCCCAGCCTGGATGCCTGGCACGGCTCTCTGGGTGGACGGGTTCATTTGTCTCCCTTTGTCTCCCTTCATTTGTCTCTCAGCCTGGATGCCTCGGGTTCATTTGTCTCCCTTTGTCTCCCTTCATTTGTCTCCCGTTGTCTCCCAGCCTGGATGCCTGGGTGGACAGATTCACTTGTCTCCCTTTGTCTCCCTTCATTTGTCGCCCGTTGTCTCCCAGCCTGGATCTGGCACGGCTCTCTGGGTGGACGGGTTGATGTGTCTCCCTTTGTCCCCTTCATTTGTCTCCCGTTCTCTCCCAGCCTGGATGCCTGGCACAGCTCTCTGGGTGGACGGGTTCATTTGTCTCCCTTTGTCTCCCTTGATTTCTCCCGTTGTCTCCCAGCCTGGATGCCTGGCACGGCTCTCTGGGTGGACGGGTTCATTTGTCTCCCTTTGTCTCCCTTCATTTGTCTCCCGTTGTCTTCCAGCCTGGATGCCTGGCGCGGCTCTCTGGGTGGACGGGTTCATTTGTCTACCTTTGTCTCCCAGGATGTCTGGCACCCCTTTGTTTCCCTTCATTTGTCTCCCGTTGTCTCCCAGCCTGGATGCCTGGCACTTGTTTTTTTGGTGGACAGATTCACTTTTCTCCCTTTGTCTCCCTTCATTTGGCTCCTGTTGTCTCCCAGCCTGGATGTCTGTCACGGCTCTCCAGGCGGACGGATTCACTTGTCTCCCTTGGTTCCCCTTCATTTGTCTCCCATCTCTGTGCATGGACGGATTCATTTGTTTCCCTTTGTCTCCTTTTATTTGTCTCCCGTTGTCTCCCAGCCTGGATGCCTGGCACGGCTCTCTGGGTGGACGGATTCATTTGTCTCCCGTTGTCTCCCAGCCTGGATGTGTGGCACTCACGCTCCGCGGTCTGTCCTTTTGGCGGGGTCTGGTTTGCCTTCGGCTTTGGCCCTGGCTTCGGTCATTCCTTGTCTTGTGGATGTTGGGGACAGGGTCCTCCTCTGTCTGCCCTTCATCTGGACTTCGATTTTGCTTGGGCTCGTGGCGGGTCGTCTTCCTTGTCTATCGTTGGCTACACCCTGTCTGTTCGTTCAGTGCCTCGTTATCAGTTGCGGTCCCGAGCTGACGAGAGCGGTGCGCTGCGGTGCGCGGCTTCAGCTACGAGAAGGCTCTGTTAACCCCCCGGTGAAACAAACGTGAACCACGCTGGAGTTAAATCCTCTATCGATTCTTCGAGGATGTTCAACGAACGTTACGCTGAGATACCCAGTGGTGCTCTTGGCACCTGGGCTTGTCCCGGCTCTCCCGGCGGACGGGTTCATTTGTCTCCCTCTCCCCTCCATTTGCCTGACGGATTCATTTGTCTCCCTTTGTCTCCCTTTATTTGGCCCCGGTTGTCTCCCAGCCTGGACGCCTGTCACGGCTCTCTGGGGTGGAGGGGTTCATTTGTCTCCCTTTGTCTCCCTTCATTTGTGCCTGGCACGGCTCTCTGGGTGGACAGGTTCATTTGTCACCCTTTGTCTCCCTTCATTTGTCTCCCGTTGACTCCCAGCCTGGATGCCTGGCACGGCCTGGATGCCTGGCACGGCTCTCTGGGTGGACGGGTTCATTTGTCTCCCTTTGTCTCCCTTCATTTGTCTGGCACGGCTCTCTGGGCTTTGTTTCCCTTCATTTGTCTCCCGTTGTCTCCCAGCCTGGATGTCTGGCACGGCACTTGTCTCCCTTTGTCTCCCTTCATTTGTCTCCCGTTGTCTCCCAGCCTGGATGCCTGGCACGGCTCTTTGGGTGGACAGTTTCACTTGTCTCCCTTTGTCTCCCTTCATTTGGCTCCCCTTGTCTCCCAGCCTGGATGTCTGTCACGGCTCTCCAGGCGGACGGATTCACTTGTCACCCTTGGTTCCCCTTCATTTGTCTCCCATCACTGTGGGTGGAACGGATTGGATTGTCTCCCTTTTGTCTCGCTTTATTTGTTCTCCCGTTGTCTCCCACCTGGAATGCCTCCTCTGGTGGACGGATTTCATTTGTCTCCCTTTGTCTCCCTTCATTTGTCTCCCTTGTCCTCCCAGCCTGGATTCCCCCTCTGTGGTGGACTGATTCATTTGTCTCCCCGTTGTCTCTCATGTTCAGGAACGAGGTAAACTCACGCTCCGCTGTTTTCCTTCAGCTACCCGCTTTTCTGTTCCTTTTGGCGGGTCTGGTTTGCCGTCGCTTCGCCCTGGCATCGGGTCATATCCTTGTCTTGGTGGATGTTAAGGCCAGGTCCTCTGTCTCTGTCCTTCAGCTGACTTCATTTTGCTTGGGCTCGTGGTGGGTCGTCTTCCTTGTCTATCGTTGGCTACACCCTGTCTGTTCGTTCAGTGCCTCGTTATCAGTTGCGGCCTCTCTCTCTGTCCTTGCTCGCATTTGGAGTCCCGAGCTGACGAGAGCGGTGCGCTGCGGTGCACGGCTTCAGCTACGAGAAGGCTCTGTTAACCCCCCGGTGAAACAAACGTGAATCACGCTGGAGTTAAATCGTCTTTCGATTCTTTGATGATGTTCAACGAACCTACGCCGAGATACCCAGTGGTGCTCTTGGCACCTGGGGTTGTCCCGGCTCTCCCGGCGGACGGGTTCCTCTCCCTTCATTTGCCTGACAGATTCATTTGTCTCCCTGTGTCTCCCTTTATTTGGCCCCGGTTGTCTCCCAGCCTGGATGCCTGTCACGGCTCTCTGGGTGGACGGATTCGTTTGTCTCCCAGCTTGGATGTCTGGCACGGCTCTCCGGGCGGACGGGTTCATTTGTCTCCCCTTGTCTCCTTCTTGTTGTCCCCCAGCCTGGATGCCTGGCACGGCTCCCTGGTCATTCGCGGTGTATTCCGCGGGCACGCATGTGTGTTTGAGGCTCAGAAACGTGTGTTTGAGCGCGGGCGTGCGCTTGATCAAGCCACAGGCAGCATGCTGCGGATGCACGTACGAGTGCTTCAAGTAAATGATTGTGTGTTCTTGGTGTGTTCCAGCTGACCACATCGGCGCGTTCCAAGTGAACACGCACTTTTTGCATGTGACCACATGAGTGTGTTCCACGTCAGAACATGTTTGTGTTCCAGGTGAAAGCATGCGATTGTTCTGATAAAACACATATGCGATCCGGTCAAAATTCCTAGTAAGGGGGTTTAGTCTACAGAGGCCACCGTCGCAGTCACTTTGTGCAGTTTTTCATTCACACAAAGCGGAGTCCTGCAAATACCAATGGATTGCCCGCTCCCCACTGGAGGCGCTAGGATGGCGCTTGGTTTGCGCTAGGGTCTTCGGTGATCTTGGTTTCCAAGAGTTGGCGCGTGGGTTGCCGCGATGGGCTTTGCGTGGCTTTCAAGGGTGTAATGTTGCAGTTCTTACTTAGTACTTGAAGCCAGCCCGCACGTTTACCTTCATCTTACGTGGCCTTAATTTGTCAAATCCACACAGATGGTCGCCGTGACTCCAAAAAATACGGCGAACCCGCGCTAGCCGCGCGCTAGCAAGGCGCTAGCGCAGTGGTCAGCTGTGACCGGTTCCCAGTTACGCTTCAATCCAAATTTGCTTCCGCTCTCCTCGCATGCAATTATCATGGAGTGCGATTTGCTGGACAAAGGGGAGAAACAACGGCTGAGGCAAGACGGCAGGGATGCCTTGTACCGAGCATACGGAAGAATTGGGTTGCGTATTTCCCTGCGAAAGCAAATGCTTTACTGAATCGATACGAAGAGTTGCCACAATATGATCAAAGCACTTTAGCAATCGATACGAAAGACACTGTGCAGCTAAGCGAGAAAGAAGCGCAATGCGCCGGAAAGCTTTTGCTAAGCTGAAGCCTGTAACTGCTGGAGACGCATCCGATACTGATAGTACTAGCAGTAGTAGCAGCAGCAGCAGCAGCAGGCTCGCGCGCTAGCAATGTGTTGCAAAAAAGCTAGATTGATCGTACACGAACACTATTTTCCTACTTGGAACACGCATATAAAACACAAGCGTTGTTCAAGGCAGAGCCCCATGGAATAGCGCCTCACAGCCGGCTTCGGGAACTTGATTTATGTGTCGCCCAGGCGTGCAGGAAATGTAAATTCCATGTGAACACATTTTTGTTGTCCAGGTGAACGCATGTGTGTTGCACATTTGTGTTGCACATGTTTCTCCACATGTGCACACACGTGTGTTCCATGTGTACACATATGTGTGTTACAAGTCAACACAGAAGTTTGTTCTGGTTAAACATGCTTGTGTGATCCAGGTCTGCACCAGTGTCGCACGTGAACACAAATGCCTGTTCCAAGTGAGCGCATATATGGGTTCCAGGTGAACACATATGTGTGTTGCAGGTGAACAGAAATGTGCTTTCCAGACATACACACATATGTGTTCCAGGTGTACGCATGTGTGTGTGTGCGTGTTCCGGGCGCGCATATATATATATATGTGTGTGTGTGTGTTGTTCGCGTGTGCACATATGTGTGTTCCACATGTACACATATGTGCGTTCACGTGCGCACATATGCGTGTTGCACGTGTACACATATGTGTGTTCACGTGTACACACATGTGTGTTCTTATCAGACACGTGTATGTGTTCCAGGAGAACACATGTTTGTTATCA